TCATAAATGAATAATAAAACGTAAAAAAGACAAGCCACCATGAAAATGGCAAATGAATATGATGACGTGTGTACTATACATGAAGCAATTATTTAAGTGACATATTTACTGAAATTCTGCAAAGCTTCTTGTGGAGTCTGCAAAATTTAGCAATGCCTGAACATACTATAAAATTGGAAGCATGAAGAAAGGTTGTTCAGCATTATAAATCTTGGAGAGCGTTTCTTTATGTATCTGTTAGAATTAGATTAAGAAACCCAATTCCTCATTTTAAATCCAAAAACTTCTTTGTTTCCCTGTATTTTTGTGAGGATTTTAATTGTTTATATTTTCCATTTATATGTCTGTATCCATTTTCCTTTAATGTCATTTTTAATGTTTTCCTTTAATGTTTATTTTTCTTATCTGGGTACAGTGGTCTTGGTTGACATGATGCCAGATATAGAGATATCTAAACCTCTCTAATTCTTCCAGAGGCCTGAGATGGAAACTAACAGGAATGCTTGCTACATTGTTAGTGAATCAGGGAGAGTCATTTCAGGGTCAGAGAGCCTCTCTGTTTCACCCATGTTTTTCTCATAGCTAGTAGCCTAGGAATGCTGCAACTCCATAGAGGTTATATGATCCAGAAGACACACATGCATATTTTTATGACAAGTTCACCATCATGGCAGTAAATGAGCCTATTAAAGGGACCTCAAAGTCAATGTAAGCCTCAATAGCAAAGAATGGAGTGCAGTAGGACATTTTTTAGGATGCCAGCTCCAAAATAATGACACGAAGACTTCTTATTAACTATGAAAGCTGAGCCTTAGCTTAGGCTTGTCCAAGCTAGCTCTTATAACTTAAATTAACTCATTTATATTAGTGTATGTTTGCCATGTGGCTTGTAACCTCTTCTTCATACTATACAAACTATTTCCTCCATGTTTGCTGGTGAGTTTCCCACCTCTCAGATTCTTCCCCTGAGTTGTTTTCTCTCCCTAGAAGTCACACATATTCTCTGCTGCCTAGCTCCTGGACATTTGGTTCTCTATTAAACCAATCGGAAGATACATCTTCACAGTGTAAAAAAAATCACCCCACAAATTTCACTCATTTTGTCTAAGTAAAAAGGAAAGGTTTTAACTCTAACATATTAAAACTATATACAATAAGAACAATTACAATAAGAATTCTATTTACAATGCCTACTCCGTTTGTATTTGAGAAATTTAGAGAAAGTACTCTATTTCCTATCCTATCTTGGTGAGTCAATGTTTTATATCTAAACCACTTTCTATGAAGGGCTTATCTGATGTCCTGGCTAGAACATCTGTGAGACTGAACCGTATCAGCTAATCATTTTGAAGTTATTCTCGATGCAGATTTTTTGAGGAAACAGCAACAGAGACATTTTGATAAACTGGATCACCTGGGCTGCTTCTCTTGTCTTCAGTGGTCACTGGTCCTTTTTTTCCTGAAAACATACATACTTTTAAAGGTAACATACATATCTGTATTAACACAAGTATGAAATGTGAGGTGTGCACAAATCAGATAAGCTTGATTTTCTGTTCTATGCTTGAGCAGATAAATACATCTGTCAACTTTCCGAGTCCATTTATATTGCATAACCAAACTGTTTCCTAAACCTCCATCCATGCCATGTGAAAAGATGGCACATAATAATAAATCGTGAGGACTCTGTAACCATCATGATTTATAATGTCTCATCCAGTCTCAGAGATTTTTCCTCAATTCCTTCTCTCTTCCAGGGAAATCCCACCTATCATCTGCTTGTCTATTGGCTGTTCTTTTCTGTATTAAACCTATCAGGAAATGACTTGGCACAGACATGTCTTCAGTATACCAAAAGTTTATCCCACAAGAAGTGAGGCTCTCACTTTTAAAGTTACAGAAGCATCCAGGCCTTTAGCATATTCCAGGATGCCTTTCACACGGCTCTCTTATGACTGTTCCAACACAATGTCAAAGTCATCAAGTTCTACGTCTTTTTCCAGGTCAGATCCACAATTGATATGTGGAGGAAACACGCAAAAGAATATACTATTGAACTTTTCCTTCATGCCAATAGAAGCACCAGAGGGTACATGAGTGATGTTCTAGAAGACCAGTAATCATCACTTTATAATATCCCAGAAAGTTTACTCACAGTCTTCTGGGTGGACTATTGGTGAGAATTTCTTCACAATGTTAAAGTTGTCATGGGTGATCTTGACTAAAGGAGATAAGTAGTTTTAGATTTTGACATTAGCATCATTTTATTTTACTTCTTTCCTCAATATGAATAAGAACTGTTGTGATTGTACTGTTGGTTGTCCAATGGCTGAAAATATGGGTAAACTGGATGAAGGTAAGAATATTCAGTTTTTTTATTTTATATTACTTATATTTTTTTTGTTTTTCCTTTCTGTTCTTTTTATCATTTTTTATTTTAATTTTACATAGCTTGTTTTACATGTCAATCCCAGTTCCCTCTCCCTCCCCTCCTCCCACACTCCCCTTCCCCCCCACCCTCCCACCCTATTGCCAAATCCTTCCACATAGGGGATATCTAGAGTATGTCATTTCACTCTGGCTAGGGTCCAGGCACTCCCCTCAGAGTACAGGCTGAGAGAGCATCCCTCTTTGTGCTATAGGCACACGATGACTGTTTGTATTCCAGGGATAGACACTGATCCACAGCTCAGGGCCCCATAGGTTGCCCAGGCCTTCTCGCTGACACTCACATTTGGGGGGTCCAGATCGGTCCCATGCTGGCCTCCCCACTGTCGCTCTGGGGTCCAAGAGCTCTCCCCTGTTCAGATCAGCTGTCTCTGCTGGTTTTGCCAGCCCATTCTTTGCCAATTTGCTCATCACTCCTCTCTCTATCACTGGGTTCCTTGGGTTCAGTTCAGTAATTAATTGTGTGTTTGCCTCTGCTTCCATCAATCACAGGATGAAGGCTCCCGGATGGTTATAGACATCAAGTTCATTATCAGGAATGGGCAATCTCCACTATTGCTGAGCTTGCCAATTGGTGTTATCCCTTTAGATCACTCGAGGTCACTCTGGTGCCTGATCTGTCTTCTATCCTATGATTCCCTCTTCCCCCTATTCTACCCCCACCCACTCAACTTCCTGTTCCCCCATGACCAACTCTCTTCCTCTTCACCCCCTCTTCTTCCCAGCTCCCACTCCCCCCTCATGACCTTGAAAACAATCTATAGATCAAGAACACAAAATGGTCACATTTGTTTACTCTGAACTTCACCAACAAAAGCCTGTCTCAAGTAGGAACATATCAACAGAACTATAAGATGTTATGCTTCTGTGACTAAAACAAGGAAAAGAGACTTCTTAGTTTTAAATACTTATCAAGTAAAGACCTTATACACTAAATGTGTACAACATGATTTTTGTCAAATAGTATTATAATTAAAATAATTGACACAGCCATCATACCATTAGTTACATATTATATATTCTCTGAACTTGGTCATCTCTAACTAGAAATATCTAAATATTTGATCAACATCCCCCTCTAAGTATTCCCCATCAAAAAAAAACTTCCCATATGAACCTCAAAAAGAAACAATATGTCAAACAATGGAATGTTGTGGCATCATAAGAACCAATAATGAAGTTGCTCCAGAAACTCAGCAACAAAGATATAATCAAGACTGAGTGAGTGTGGGATGGTAGGGTGTATGCATTAAGAAAATTATAAACAGAAAAACTATTGCACACCTGAATTTCAGAGAGACACAGGGAGAGAAATGAAGCCAACATTGTGTTGAATTGCTTTAAAAAAGGAATTATCAAAACCTTTGTGAAATTTGAGTAATGCATACAATTTATGGAACTTACAACACTGTTATCCAAAATGGATTTATTTCTGATATTAGAAAAATAACCATAGAAGACCTTCAGAGGACTGACAATTGTTTTGAACTATTTCATTGGCTGACATCTCCAACTCTCTAACCAGTAGTTTGATGTGCTCATGTTTTAGCAGTCTGATTTCCATTCACACAGTTTTTAGTATAGGGAAGCCTTCTGATTAAATGAGCAGCCGTTTGTCATTACGAAAACTATGGGGAAACAATCATTGTATGCTTTAGGGTGAAGTCCTAATAGGCAGCTTTCCTAGTCAAAGCATTTTATTCCAACAGAAAGTCTTTGACTTACTTCCAAGGCGTACCAAACCTGAAGTTCTCAGCCTTTGCTTTCTTTGGGTTTCCAGACCATTACAGGTGTTTTTGTTTTTGTATTTGTTTTTTATCTGAATACTTGGAAAAACACTCTCATTTCTGCTCTCTTCTGTCACACAAACCAGAATAATGTTCTCAATGTCCAAATACCATCATGTAAATTTAAAACTTTTCATCTCTCTATCTTTCAAAAATGTCATCATAAGCTATCTTTATAGATTGTTAAAATTCCACAGAAGTCCAGAAATCATATAATATCTAGAAAGAACATAATTTTACTTGTGTTTACATATGACTACAAGAAATTCCAGTCAGTATAAATTTGTTGCTAATAGCCAGAGATGAATTGGCCTTAGAAAGATGGATGATAGATAGGTAGGTAGGGAGGTAGATAGATAGATAGTTAGCGATATAGATATAAGTATATGACTACTTTCTGTAGTTTGTTTTTTTAGTAAGGTATTTAGTTGGTACATGTTCAATTAGACTAAGTTTTCTTCCTTTTTGCTGCTGATTTTTTAAAGATACCAAGATACCTCAGAGATTTTCCAAGGAAGAAAAATGAAATTGTTTTTGTTCAAGGATATTACTTTTGAAGTTTGCTTATAATGAAGCAGACAAATGATTAAATTTATACCTGAAATTTCCCACAAACTTCACTGTTAAGTTTACTCATCATGTGTGCATAGCCTATGAAGCTGCATTTTGTTTTTGTTTTTGTTAATAATGCCATTCACTTAGCTTCTTAGTAACTATTTATGAAGAAACTTAAAACTTTATGGATATTCTAATAAAATTACTTGAATGAAATAGTGTAAAATCAGATATCAAATTCATTATAAGGTGCATAGAAAAGTAATAGTTTAAAAAGTCTGTGTCTTATTTGAGCCTCTCTAACTTTGCAGATAAGATAAACAACATGACCTAATCTGCTTTCTTAGAAATTTGTGTATAAATTATAGAGGATGCATTGTATTATAATTATCTGACCTAAAATTAAGTTGTTCATAATAGGTAGTGAATTTTCTGAGGTCAGAGAAATTGGTAAGATTACTTTTGTTTCTTTAAATCTAAGCAGTTTTTTTTCTATTACAATATTTCCTAAAAATAAAGAGTTTTACTGTTGGTAGAAGTTCCTGATATTTACTTCATAAAAATAAAAATCTCTAAGAATATAAAGTATAAAAACCCAGTGTGGGAATTAAAATTGTATCAAATTCCACACTTTTCTTTTCTACAGTGTCATTTGGTTAATCAAAATAAAGAGGGATATCTGTTTGATGCTTGATCTTTTTAAAATATTTGTTGCCATGACAATATGAATCATGATGCCATGGCAGAGGCTAAGTGTGGATGACAATTCAGTTTAATTTACTGAGACCATTTCCTGTGTCTCTTCATTCCGTTTTGCATAGCCAGAATTGACTATGGTACATTTAAGCAAAGATTAGTTGATGCCTGGGGGTGAATATGCTCAGATATTAGGCTTGCGGTAATAATACACTTGACAGTACTTGGCAAGCCATGGATTTCAAAGTGTCATCATTTCACTCATTGCTCCAAAAAGAATTGATTTTGTTGAAAACTGTATTGAAGAGGAAGTCTGTTGTCCATTACAATTCATCACACATCCCATGTTGTGCCGGCCATTGTCTTTGTCCTTCAGCCAGCGTCTGCCTCACTTGCATGAGATCACTTGTTTCTTCATCACTGCTGTCTGCAACAAGCAACATCTACTATAAAATATTTTAAGACGACATTAAAATTAAACATTAGTTTACACTGCCAATTGTAACTGCAAGAGAATTTTAATCTAAATGAATAAACTCTTAATGCCAGGATTCCAGGCACCTCTCAATGTAATAGAGGTGCATTAGAGAGGCTAAAAGCCTCAGTAGTGCTCCTGAATTTACAATGCCTATACACAAACACATTCTACTTACACAATTAGGACTCCTTGGCTAAATCACACAACAAATTCATCCAACTTTTATCGAAGTTATATGTTCTAATTTGGGGGAGGGCATGTATGTGATATAGCACATATTTTGTGTGAGGGGCTGGGGGAGTCAGAGCACAACTTTTTTTTTCAGAAATAAGTTGTCTTCTCTCACTATGGTTTCCTGGGATCAGGTCCATCAGGATTCAGCTACTGTGGTCTACTTTCATCTCCCTAGCTCCTCATTAGGATTACTTTCTTTAGTAGTTGGAGTCTATGTGCAACGCTACCTCAAAATGCATGAGTCACTGTATTATATGTAGAAATATTTAATTAAGTTCACAGTGCAAGGATAGAAAAATCAAAATCTGACACTTACTGCTATTTTCTGATAAGGTCAGCTACGCAATGACATGGCATTTCAGGGTGTGTGTGCATGTGTGTGTGTGTCCGTGTATGTGTCCCTGTGTGTGTGTGTGTCTGTGTGTGTGTGTGTATGTGTCTGTGTGTGTGTGTGTGTGTCTGTGTGTGTGTGTCTGTGTCTGTCTGTCTGTGTGTGTGTGTGTGTCTGTGTGTGTGTGTGTGTATGTATGTATGTATGTATGTGCATCTATTGTGTGTGTCTATGTTCTTGTTTGGCTGTGTGTGAATGCCAAAGGAAACTTATCAAGTAAATTCTGAAGATCCACCAAATGGGTTACCAAAATCAAACTCAGGTGCTTAGGCTTTGTATCAGGTGCTTTTAATCTCCGTGCACTGTCACCAGGCCCATGTTTGCTTTTGCTAACACTGTAAACTAGAATGCAGAATATCTGCATTCAGATTTTTAATTAATTTGTTGAAACAATATGACACCTAAAACAGTTAATTAGTTTTTTTCTGTCAAATGGGGCTCCTAGACACTTTAAACCTTAATGTGACTTGAAGCATTTATATTGATTTATGAAGGGTAAGAGACCATCCTGCCGCAAGGACAATGCATTTTTTTTCGGCTGATATATCTGAAATTTTTCATTGTGCATTCATGTGATGTGTGTGTGTGTGTGTGAGAGAGAGAGAGAGAGAGACAGAGAGACAGAGAGACAGAGAGACAGAGAGACAGAGACAGAGAGAGAGCACCAGCACACTAGAGGATAGCAAGTATTGTTCCTCAGGCACTGCCTGTAAATTTTTCAATAATGTCTCACTGGATGGGATCTCAGGGAGTAAGTTAGGGTGACTGGCCAGGATGCCTGGGAATCCATCTGCCTCTTCCATTCCAGTGCTAGGATTGGAATCATGTGCTACCTCACCTGGCTTTCCCGTGAGTTCTGAGGTTTACATTAAGATCCTCCTGCTTACAAGAAAAAAACACTTTCCCCCCTCAGCTGTCTCCCCAGCCCTAAACAGCATTCTTGATTAAGTGAAATGTATAAATGGGTATTTTGAACTTTGTTTATTTCAGTAAGTTTTTGTATGAAAAAAAATTTATTCATCTACAAAGCAAAGAATTCTAAGATGGATTTGTTGGTAAGCACGCATGTTTAAAATGTGTAATTTTCTTATTATCTCTTCCCACTCACATGTAACATTATGAATGCTAAATAATACCAACTGTGTTGATAGTATGACCAATGTAGGAGATCATCTAGGTTTTTGACAAACTTGTAATTCACTGAAAATAGAGTCATGACTATTTTCAAGAAGGGTCCTATATTTTTTCTCTTTTCTCCAAATGTACATTTATTTATTCAGCCAGCAGTCACCTAAGTGGGCTGAGCTGCCAGACCATATAACCAGGATCCCTTGTTTCCTGGTTTCCAACTTGGCTCAGAGAGTAAGGACACTGACAGGAGATTCGAGAAAGAAGGAGTGGAATTCTGGTATTTATTTTCTGCGTATATCAGTGTTGACTGTGACTTAACCTCGACTGTGTGATTCTGCCTAGAACAGTAATTGTTGAAAAACAACCCCTCTTTTCTACCTGCAGTTCTCCCTGTGGACTCTGGTACAGACTGTGACTGACTGACCCTTCCCACGATACTACTTCATCATTTCTTGCTCTCTTAACCCTGGCTATCTATTGTAAACTATCTCTGCATTAAATTCTCTTCATTCTCCGATTTGAATACAACATCTGTTTTCTGTCAGCAGCTTGATTGACGAAGAGAGTGTCCCGTGCCTTCTAGGTCCATTCTGTAGTGCATTCTCCTAAGTATTCAGTGTGTTGAGGGATTAATCTGAGGGGATTAATCTAAAGTATAAGAGTTCACAATTTGCCTTAACATGTTTGAAAAGGTATCTCAAAAGTTCTATATTCATGTTTTTCTAACTCCCTAAAATTGTCCTTCATCTTATTTTGAGTGTCTTTGTAAAGAATTAGCAAAAACTATATCTTCTTTTCTTGAGTTGTATTCTCTCACAGAAGACTTGCCAGACCAAGTTGGCAATATCTCAAGTTTTCTATTAGTGGTTTGGACATCATGATCTTGAAAATATATGCTCATAAAATATTTCTGGTCTCATACACTTAAAATAATTTCAAAAACAATGTATCAGATCATATTTTTGAATGTATATTTAAAATGCATTTGTGCATGTGCATGTGGTGTGTGTGTGTGTGTGTGTGGTGGATAGTCCAGAGTTGTCATACTTAATTGCTCTGCTTTACATACCGGTCATATTTTTGAATGTATATTTAACATGCATTTATGCATGTTCACTTGTGTGTGTGTGTGTGTGTGTGTGTGTGTGTGTAGAGCATAGGTTATGTCTCTTGTCTTATTCAATTGCTCTACTTTACATATTGATACTATTTTTGAGTATGTACTTAATCTGCATATATGTGCTAGCATATGTGTATGTGTGTGTGTGTAACTCAGCTGTCTTAATTGCTCTATTTCACGTTTTGGGAAAGGTTCTCTCAACATTGCTCAGATGCACTGAATAGGCTGATTTGTCATCAGTATCTGCCTTCTGTGTCCTGGAATCACATGTGGTCCACCATGTCTGCCTGTAGATGGAAGCTTCTGTCCCACCTGGTTCCACTGCCATTTAGTCCCAAATAATCACATATGGGCTCATATTAATTATAAACTACTTGGCCAATGGCTCAGGCTACTTATTGGCTAGCTGTCTGAATTATTGACCCATTTCTATTAATCTATATGTCTCCACATGTTTTGGACTTACTGGAGAATGTCTGGGACTCTTCCTTCCTGGTAGCTATATGGCATCTCCTCATGACACCCTCTCGGCGTACCACTTTCCAAAATTCTTCTAGTCTGGTAGCTCTACCTATACTTCCTGCCTGGCTACATCCTGTCTTTCCATTGGCTGAGACGGCTTTATTCATCAACCAATAAGAGAAACCTGTATTCACAGCATACAGAAGGACATCCCCCATTATCTCCCTGGCATTTGTATTGACAATGAGGATTCGAACTTGGACCTCATGATTATATTTGCTGAGCCATCTCATTGGTGCATATTCACATATTTTTAACCTGATGTCTAACAAATATACCTGAAGAAAAATTTACTCTATGCATGGAGATTATACTTTAAAGTATTATCCTTGCATTGTTCAGCCAAATAAGGCCAGTAATATGAATACACTAAAGACACTAGATATTAGTACTGTACAACTTGAAAATAGAGTCATTTTTTCACTTTCTGCCATTTTCACTTTTCTTAATATTTATATATCTATCAATATTTTCACAGAATTTTATTTTAATGTTATATATTTTAAAAGTATTTCCTTAGTAAACCTTCATAGTTCTCACAACAGTATACATTTTAAATGATGCTTCATTTATTTTCCCTGGAAAAGTAAATTCTATGCTATTTTTTTCTCTTGACATATTTGAAATTTACTACAAGAAAGCAAAAACTCTTTAAATGTTTTTCACAGATAACCATTAAATATTATAAAGTGAAAAAATTTAACTATGTGCATCATTTTTAATGAAATAATCTGGATTGCTTGTCTCAGTTCTTTTAGTTTATTGATGACTATTAGCTGGTGAGAGGCAACTTTTAATTCCATGCCATTTTGACATGAATCTTTTCTTAGATACAAATATTGAATGGCATAAATTATTTATGAGAAAAAGAACTTACTCACAAGTCAGTTACCGAATTTTTAAAATTACTAATTTTAGTGCCTAATGTAAGCTGAGATGGAGAGTAATGGGGTGTCAGCTATAAGCAAACAAACTATAAAACCAACAAACCCCTAAGAGAAATAGGTAGTCTTTTGTCACAACAATGGTGCTGAAAGTGTATAGAGACAGAGAGTGTCAGCCACATTTCTCTCATTGAACAACATACAGCAGAAGGCCAGAGGGTGAGTGCAGAAGGGAAAATGGCTCACTTCTGAACGAGAGATGGACACTTCTGAGAGAGAGACAAAGAGAATGATAAACACTTCTGTGGACTTATATTTGGGAAGCAAAGGCTAGCCAAGGAACTAGGATGGAAAAATGCTTGGTAATGATATTGACAGAGAGGTATTTGCAGATTCCTCTCTTCCTTCTATAAAGACCAGAGCATAATTCTTCCAAAAAGTCCCATTCAGGTTTGAAGAAAATAAGGGATGTAGGCAGATGGCATAGGAAAGCTAATGTTTTCAGAGCATAACTGGACTTCTGAAAGTGGTTTACCATTTTCTTGAGAACAGATAAAATGCTGTATTTAATACACTCACAAGAATTTACACTAATTGATTAAAATTAAAATAAAATTTACCATAACTTTATAACAAAAAGGGTGCTTTGAAACATCCAAGTTTAGAATCTTTTGAAGCATAACCAAAAGACTCATAGGAATTTAAGGAAAATGGTAGTAAATATTAAAATATGTTTCATATCACTGGCCATTTACTGGTACTGTAGTAAAACTAAGCAAGTATGTATTCTTAAATATATTTCTGAATAAGACAATGATAAACAAGTGGTTATATTGATTAGAAACCTTATTAAATAGATTATAGTATTATAGAAAAGAAAATCTAAATAATAGTAATAATAAAAATATACAAATTAATTAGTAAAACTTATTAAAACTCAGGAGAATTCATTGTTTCCAATACTTAAGAGCAATGTTAAGTCATTTGGGGTTTGTAGTTCATCTTCTTCTCTTCAGCATAATATCACAGGTTAAGTAATTTATTAACATTAGAGGCTTATCTGGCCTACAGTTCTACATGCAAGGAAGCCTACACGAATGACACTGAGTTTTGATAAGGTACTCTGTACAGGGACAAAACATCTTATATGAACTAGTGGGCACTTTCAAGCCAGAGGAAGAAAACCAGTCCAGATACTTTCCTTTTTTCAGGGGTTTGCTCCCATTGTAACTACCTGACTCTATTAACATCATCAGTATATTCATAAGAGGACGGCCTTCTGGGCTAAATAACCAATCTGAGTCAACATCCCTTAATACCGGTACAATGATTTATTAAGTTCACATCACTGTGACTACCATACCTGAAAGAAATGTATGAGGGATCAAGTCATACTTTGGTTCATGGCTTCAGACATTTCAGTCTGTCATAGCACAGAAGGTGCAGTGGGAGAGGCTGCATCTGGGAAGCAGGAGTTGTGGAGGTGGCTTGTTCACAGACATTGCAATTAGGACTAGGGTATATGACCTTCAGTGGCCAGTGACATACTTCTTCAATCTAGGACCCACCCTCTCAAGTACCATATCTTTCAAAATAACATTGCAATCTGGAAACCAAACCTGAAAAGAAGTTTGTAGAATATGTATCAGACTGGAAGCAGAATGTTGCCAGTTAAATGTTAACATGAGTTTTTTGTTTTTTTTTTTTGTTTTTGTGGAAAGAGGCATTTAAACCACAACATTGTGAATAGAAATTGTTGAAATCAATTTAGAAATCATCAATTACAGCATATACTGACTTCATTGGGTACTGACTTGTATAATGAAACTCAACACACAAACATGTACAGAAACACACATACAAACTCACACACACACACACACACACACACGTGTGCACGAAATTTTTCCTTGAACTGACATATAAAGATATACAACCCTCTACTGTAAAACTGTGAAGAGAAAAATCCAAAGAACTTTGAGCCTAGCCTTTAACGGCTGAGCCATCTGGGACGTTGGATAGTGTATCAGTATTTATCACTGGCATATAAATGGAACTTGGGAACCCGTTCGAGGGATGCTCTCTCAGCCTGGTCACATAGGCCCTGCCCAAGACGAAATGACAGACTCTGAAGATACCCCATGGAGGGTCTCACCCTCCCTGGGGAGCAGAGTGGGGACTGGGCAAGGGGATGCTGGGGCTGGTGGGGGTAGGGGAACAGGGGAGTGAGAGGGAGAGGTAGAGGGAGCTGGGATTGACATGTGTAGCAAGCTTGCTTCTAATTTAAATTTAAAAATATTTAAAACATCCAAAGAACTCTATAATGTACCAAACACTTGTAAACTCATGGAAGACTACTGTACTATGCAGTATCCATGACTACTCTCAAAGCATAATGCAGATATAAAAGTAAACTGATAAAGGCATGGTCTGTGGTGTTTACTAATGCAGTTATAGTACAGAGACATAAGGAAATATTCAGAACACACTTACCTTGGTCTAGTGGCAGACAGAAGTACAAAGTTTGCAGACAAAATAAAAATACAAACATTTCTACACTTGTTTGTTTTCTGTTTCTTAAACTGGTGGAAATCAGCTTATAAACATACCTTCGAAGGGGCATCCTTTAAGAGAGAAGTATATGGCAAATCCCATTTCGTATTATCAGGAAGGGAGAAAACAGCACGATGAGGACAGAAAACGGGCTGAAATTTCAAAGAGAGTCACTAAGAATAGAAATGAACAAAGAAAAGACCGTGTTTGAATAGAAAGTAAAGGAATTTAAAGAGTGGGATGGCTTTCTTGTGACTCAAATTTTGTTCCCTCATTCAATTACTATCTGTACAAGCATTCAGTCTGTTACACATAACTATTTCCTCAGAAAATATCCCTCTCACTGTTCAACTAAAGCAAGTGTTAAAAAGTAGCTACAGAAACTTTTATTGTCATACTCAGATAGGAGAGAGTTTGCACCTAAGAATTATGAGACAGTGGGTGATTTTACTACTATTTCTGAATTAAATATAAAGGAAATTTAATGTATATATTATCAATCATTATACAGCTAAGCCTACACAGGAAAACGTAGAGGTAAAGAAATATCGGTGAATCAAAGAGTAGGGATATTAGTGGCCAATTGTGAAGAGTGAAACAAATTGCAAAAACAAAATCCAACTAGAAAAGAAAAGCTTTAATATATTGTTTGGTATTGGGATAGTGACCCCTCAAGGAGCATTTGAAAAAGATCTAACCAGTGGTGACACTTAAATGCTATTTCAATGAGAATGCATTTAGACACATGACTTACATCCACGGAAAAATACTGAAAGCAGCAAACAGCCTGTGTTCCTGGGTGATGTGTGGATACCACAAAGGAAACTACTGATTGCCTTCAGAGACATTTTGACCTCATTTCCAGGTATGCTCCAATATCTAACAAACTTTCATGCTAAATTTGCATTCAATATCTAAAGAAACTTCTTTGAGATTGGAGAGGAGATAATATACACTATATGTGTTGCAGCAAAAACAAAGTAAACTTTGCATCATAACGAAAAGGCAAAATGACATTGCCAAATCTAATAAAATAAACCGAGGGCTAAGCTTATTATTACAAATATTTTATCTGAAGTTCACAATGGAGACTACTCAATACTGCAATCAATTTTCATGCTGAAGGTAGGTCCTGGGGTTCTACCATATTCTGTATAAATATTTTTGCAAATACATCGTCTCACTGGTTTCTTCACCTGTATCTCAGCTGACCTCACCAACTTCTTTGGCATGCTCTCCCAAGCCACTCAGTTTCCTCATAACTAACACAACTTATATTCCCCAAACTTATCCAACATCTACAATCTCCAAGGTTTTAATACTTTCACTTGCTCACAATTCTTCGAAACCTCTCTGTCTTCTCTTCTGTCTAGCTTCAGTTTCCTTATCAATCAAAATAAATCTTCCCTTGGAACAGCATTTAACTTACATGCCACTGAATTTCTATCTTGCTGAGCCAGAGGAGTTTCAATACGAAAAGGACCCAACAAAGACTACTCCTGCAGACAAGTGTAGATAGAAATAAACGAAAAGCCACATCTTAATTTAAAGGCATGATAGCAAAACTAAAGCAGATAATCAACCTCTGCCAATCTGAAAACATTTCTGTGGAAAGCTTATACTTTTCTTCTAAAATAATGAACTCATAAATCCCTTTTCCTCACCTGTCACAGCCCTTTTATGCCCATTAATATGCTGAGTTCTTTCCAGATGATGAACTTGCTTGCAACTCCTTGAGAACTCTCCAGGATCCTCAATTTATAACCTTCTTGCACCTGCAACCTTGTTATTTTTTTTCCTCATGCTGTCTTCACATTTTGTACCACCTTTCTAGTCCATAAAAATTTACCATAAATCCCAACTGCTTTAATATCAAGCTCTCTCACCCATTGTTCACTTATCTTCCTCCCCTAAACTAATATGTCTCTTGGAATATTCTTACAGTCCAAAACTTTGCCTTGCTTTTAATGCTATACAAATTTCTTTATCCCACAATTCTGACTCCATATTTTTATTCACCTGTGTGTGTGTATGTGTATATATATATTAGTAAAAAGACATCATGGACTTTTTCTCAGCTTCTATTCACCATTCACTGCTCTGGCATTTAACTTTTTTTTTAACTTCTATAAGAAAATATGGGGGTGGGGTAGGTCATTGTTTCCAGCAAATTGATAGTAACCAATGTTTTGTAACTATGTTGTGTTTTTGTAAAAAGCAGAACAGAGTGCTCTCTTCCTCTCAAAGCATCATATCTCTGTTTCAAGAACATCATTCTTACACTGTGTTTTTAAGTAGCTTTTCTAACCACCTGATAGCTTCATGATGAAATTTCTGAGTTCTGTTCTTTGAAACCAGACCCTTCTTTCTCTGTTTTCTGTACTTATAGAGGTTGATGACCCTTAAATTTCTTCTTGGAACAATTTACTCTATTTTTAAGGCTAACTTTCTTCCTTCACATAAATCTCAAAAGTAACATCCTCAGAGTGGATATGAAAACTGCTTCTATGCACAGCATCATAAATGTGTTCTTTAAACTTGTTAACAATGAATCACTCATAAAACTTCACACTACAAGCTCTGGTAAATTTCTTTAGTCATCTTTCACCTCTATCTGCTTCTCCTCAACAAACCAGAACATTTTTTTGCTGCTGCTATTGTTGTTTGGGGGGAAGTGGAGGCAGAGTTGTTTTTCTGCCAGAATAATTCTAATTGTCTCCTTGTCTTTATCTTCAATTCTACCATAATTATTCAGGCCACTTGTCTGAAATAGTGCCATGTCCTTTTACTGGTCTCCTCATTTCAATTCTTGTACACTACCTTCTCAGATAACAGCAATCTATAAAACACAATGTAACTGGGTCATCTCTTTTGCTAAAACTATAAATTAGACATTGCCAAACCTCATAAACCTTTCCTGTTGACATCTTATGGCACTTTGAATAAATTCCATATCCTTCACATGGCCTACATCATCCAACCCCTTTAGGGAGTAGAGGAAGGCCTGAGTAAGTGAAGTCTTGAATGAATTTTTTTTGACTTGGGCAGAGCCTGTTGAGGATTCCAAAGCCAATTGATTCATGGGAAATTGGAAAAGTCAATACCCATATGAGCCAAGCTCAAGAGAAATGGCAACATTTCTGTATGAAGACCATATGACTGATTAGTGTAGACAAATAATTAGTAACATTGTTGTCCTCCTAACTGATGTTTATTTTCCAGCCTGCTACTCAATGCCTACAGAGACCTCCAAACAAGTTTAGCTACCCCATTTCATATGCTATTCCTAAGAAACAATGAGGGTCCAAGGTGTAGTAGCTGTAGCATAACCCCACCTTTCTCCAGCTTCATTATACCAAAAGTTCACTGAGAAGTATTAATTCAAAGGTGTTGGAAACTATTTTGTTTTTGTATGATGTGATTTCAGTCAGTGAGAGAGGACCCTTGGAGAAATTGTGTGACCTTAGTCTCTTCTTTCACTTTGATCACAAGGCAGGAAGCTTGTCCTCCTACCATAGGCATGAAGTAATGTGTTTTCCCAATCTTGGACTAGATGTACAAAATAATGAGTTAAAAGATTTGCATGTATATACTGTTGCTTTGTCCTAAATCTCACATCTCTTATTAAATGGCATATATTTTACTCCCCATTCATATGACTCACAGTCTATTCACCACCCTTACTAAACTTCTCCAACTTTTTCATAAAATTCATTTATTCTTGAGAAATGATTTGGTTATTCATTTACGTGGTTCTGTTTCATTCATATGCTATAAATTCTGTGATAAGAGAAATTACCTTTTTTTAAGAATTAAGTTCATACTAGAGTTTATTCATAAGAGTGAATAGTATGCTATTTTCATCTGTAATAATTCTACAACAACCAGTTTTTGTATCAGAAGTTTAACATGACATTGTATTCTACCCTGTCCTTTATTTGTGTTATACACACTGAATCTACATCTTTATGTTTTATTCTTAATTCACATACAAGCACAGAATGAACTGTTTCTACTGTTTCATTCCCATCTCCATCTAACTTGGTGCTCCTCATTAAGAATTCTTGTCTCTGTAGTCTGTACTCATGTTCAGTGTCTGGGTTAGAATGCACACTAAAGAACTTATAAATATAACAAGCTGATTAATTTAATTCCTCCTTTGTCGTGCCAATTTGGAAGCAAAATGCAAACTCTAATTTCATTGACTTTTTAGAAAAAAAATAAATTAGCAACATTCCCTTCAAGCAACTGAAAGTAAGCCACATGGATTCTATTTTTACATTGCTTTTCATCATAATTTTAAAACACCCACAACAATTCAGTCAAACAATCTATTTGCTTTTTCCTCTGGGGAGCTTTCAAAATTTGCAATTGAGATAAGCAATCAATGCTCACCTCTGCTAAACTGTACATAAATATTATTTCAAAAGGGAATTCCTTAGAGGAACTACTTTATGGAATGTAACTTCATTAGTAAGTAATAAATTACTCCATTGTATGTTTTCTCCCATCAAGACAATTTGGAAACTCTTAATTGTCTAACATTTCTTTTATATGGTAAAACAAATGATACCCCTGTGTGAGAATTGACCTGGTTAGAATTATGCCTTCCATGAGTAAATAGCATCAACTTCATCGGAGTTTTATGTTCACATTAATGTATTTATTGTGCAATATATGCAAAATGGAAGTGGAATCAAATTCTGCCTCACCTCTATTTTGTTTTTTGACCTTTCAAAGGCTTAACAGCAGAGTGAAACAAATGCAGTATTAAACGAAAAGAGCCAGTCACATACTGAATAATACCCAACACCCAAATATAGCCTTTTCACTTTTCCTGCTATAGTCCACTTTTGAGTTTACCTCAAGAGGAAGTGTTTATCTTTTTTAAAGAAGAGAATTACAGCATCTACTCTTGAAACCCATATAGAAGTTTATTTTTTTTTGGCAGTAGAAATGTTTTCACTAGTGATATTTCATGTTGCTTTTACTTCCCCAATAGAAACAAAAACCTTACTTTCTCCTCAAAATACATTGACTCCATGTCCTAAAAACATTACAAAAGAGTTTGATATACAATGATAATGAAGAACAGACATGAAAAATTCTTTGTTTACTCTACACTAATGAAGTAACAATGTCCTAATCCTGAGAAGATGAAATCTAAGTCCTGGTAGGCATCTTGGATAGATTCGTATCATTTTGGAAATAATTTCTTTTTTTTTTCTTTTTTTAATTATTAAATTTAGAAACAATCTTATTTTACATATCAATTCCAGTTCCTTCTTCCTCCCATCCACCGCTCCTACTCCCTCTCCACTCCCCAGGGAGGGTGAGGCCTTCCAAGGGGGATCATCAAAGTCTGTCACATCATTTGGGGAAGGTCCTAGGCCATCCTCTGTGTATCTGGGCTGAGAGAATATCCTTACATGGCAAATGGGCTCCCAAATTTCAATTCTGCACTAATAATATCTTATAATTTTCTACCCATGTTCTGTAAATGTTCTATTATGGGGTTATATTTCTAGCTGTTCTCCAAGGACATTCATGGGTGCTTCCATTTTTGTTCCAATAGCTTATAAAACTTTTTGTCTTGGTAGAATTTTAATGTTTTTATTTATGCAAGTAGCTTTGTTTTTTATATTAATATCTGAAGTCCTTTGTAATCTAGAGTTTGCTTTCTATTTTGTTTCATTTCCCCCAAAGTTTATGTTGTTAGAGTCTTTTATATTTTTCTTTGTATTCAATTATCTTTGACTATGTGATGAGTCTTGAAACTGAAATATATTGTATGTAGCAGTAATTTGATACTCAAGTTCAAGTTTATTTCCCCTTGAAAGTTATAGGCAATCATTTCTGTCAAGAATCTGTAAGCAATACTAATTCAGGAGCAGTTTACAATAGATCATCGTTTTGTAGATTGTCAAGTAAATTTTGTGGAAGAGATGCACAACTTGTCACACTTATTGTGAGGCAATTCTTTGGAGTATCAACACACTAGGGGTATGGGTTTATTATATCATTGTTGTCGTCATCATCATAATAATCATCATCATCACTTTTGGTTTGTTTATCTGTTTGTTTTCTTTTGTTTCCCATCCTCCTCTTAATCCAAGGAAGGCATTTGGTCAGCGTTATTCACTAGATTATTTAAGTTTCTAAAACCTTTAAATACCTTCTTGACAAAATATAGTTTTAGAATTAATTTAATTCTCTGAATTTCTTTTTTTTATTTTTAAACATGTTTTAAACATGTTTTACATATCAATTCTAGTTTCCTATCCCTCCTATCCTTCCACTCCCTGCACCTTCCCCGTAACCCCCATCCACTCCTCAGAGAGGGTGAGGCCTCCCATGGAGCATCATCAAAGTCTGCCACAGCACTTGGGGCAGGACTGAGGCCCTGCCTCTAGATTTAGGCTAAGCAAGATATCCCTCAGTAGGGAATGAGCTTCAAAAAGTCAGCTCTTGCACTAGCGATGAATACTGGCTCCATTACCAGTGGCCCCATAAACTGCCCAAGACCCCAACTCTCATCCACATTCATGGGGCCTAGTTCGGTCTTATGCTAGTTATCCAACTGTCAGTCCAGAGTCAACGAGCTCCCACTTGCTTGGGTAAACTGTTTCCATAGTTTTTCCCAATGTGGTCTTGACCCCTATCCTCATATTATTGATCCTCCCTCCCTACAACTGGGTAGGAGTCAGGCCCAGTGCTTAGCTGTGGATCTCTGCATCTGCTTCCATCAGTTACTGGATGAAGGCTCTATTATAGCAGTTAAGGTGGTCATCAATCTGATTGTAGGGGAAGGGCATTTAAGGTTCCCTAACCTGGCACTAAGGAAATTCCCAGGAATCCACAAGGATGATTCCAACTAAGAAACTAAGCAGTAGTGAATTTCTTTTTCTTGTGAAAGTTCTTAAATTTGTTGTTCTTCATACTTTTAAACAATTATTAAAATTTTTTGTCTTGATGTTAGTACTCTCATGAAGAGCTGTAGCCCCAAACTTCTAGCCTGCTGTTATGAGAAACAAAAAACTAAGAAAAGTATAGTGTAGAGAGCAGGGAAGTGCCTCACCCTTAAGATGGTGCTGGCTTCCACCTTCTGCTAGCCCGACAGCAGGTGCTCTCTGTGATAAACAACACCTGTATTTGGTTAAGGATATCAGGCTTGCTTCTGCGTACGTGGACCTATCTGCATGTTCCACGTGGCATACTGGGGTTGGCTGCCCAAGGGCTTTTAAGCTGTGGGTTGGCGCTCCCCGGCACTCCCTGGGAGAAGAAGATTGTTCAAGGTTCCTGAATAAATTGCTTAAAGAACAGTTCCGAGCGTTGCAACTTCCTTGCTGGTCCAGGAGGTCGCAACAAGTGGTGGCCCGTAAGGGGACCCTCTCCAATCGACTCCGAACTTTCTGCAGTCAAGGCAGCGTGCTGGTAAGTTCCCAAGGTAAGGTGGGACAATTAAGGGACCGTGACAAGAGCGGTTGGTTAAGGGACCACAGCAAGAGCGGTTGGTTTAATAATAAATAAATACGCCACATAAAGATGAAAAATACACAGAAAGTCTGGATACTGTATACTATTATGTTTTTCGGTTTTTTGATTGCTAAGAAAGGAACAACTGCTAAAGTACACTTAATTATAAAAGCAGCTGAATTAATTCAACTTATATCTTTAAAAATGCCTTGAGGATTCCTTCCAGGTTTCTATGGTTTGATGAACCAAGACCCCCGAAAACAGTGGGTCAGGTGTTACAACAATTGAAACAGCTAAGATGATGCAGTCTTACAGACCCTGAAACTAAGGACTTATACAGGTTTCTGAGTTTTTGTCATGATCCCCATGGTATGAAGATCTTGATTTTGCATGGGACCGAGGAAAGATCCAGGCTTTGGTATATTTTCCAGCATAAATTAAGCGCCAGAGATTTGGATACTAGGGGGAGCCTTTTCACTATAAAAACCCTGTACCGTGTGTCAAAATGAGTTATTCCAGGTTTAATGTAAGGGTCACTCAGATGTTTCTTCACTTGGCTTATTGCTAGGCAGGCTTCAGATGGGTTGGCTCAAACCATGCAGCCAGGTGTAGCCAATTTGCTCATTGCAGTTCTAGTCAGCGTCAATGACTTCAATCTCTAGAAACTAGCCTGGCTGCTTGCCCTTACTTTTCTCTGTACCTAGAAGCCTCCACTGTTGTTCAAGGGTGTTTTCCATTAAAGGTAACTGTAGAAGCAGAAGCACAGGCCAGCTGAGATCAATGTTCTGCTTTCCCCTCCCTCACTGCAGGCTTTGGCATGTCTTTTCCCACTGCGATTAGTGAAGCGGTAAGAAACAGTCATGTGGGTGCTGGGAGTTGAACCAGGGTCCTCTGGCCATCTCTCAGCTCCCCAGAATGGTAGGGACCTCATCCATCCGTCCTTATCCCCCACATTCAATCCTTCATCAAATCCAGTCTCTATTATACTCATTAAATGCTACCCAGTCTACCAGCCATGCAAGTGGCTTGCAGGAAAAAGGAAAAGAAAAGGAAAAAAGAAAAAATTAGTACTTGTCCAGTTTTCTTTTACAGAATTGGTCACTTGAATTTGAAGATACTTGGAAGGAGTTGAGGCTGGCAGTGGTCCATGTGAATTCCACCAGAGTGGACCTTTCTTTTGCATTGGGATTATCATCCTGGCTGACTTCTGCAATGAACCACCTTAAGGAGTGGGCGGGTATAGGAGCATTAACAGGTCTTTGGGTGTTGGTCTCCCTGGTTTGCTTGTGGTTTCTATGTAAGATTAGAATCACACAAAGATGCAATACAGCCATGATCATTCAGGCCTTTACCGCTATTAAAGCAGGACAGTTCCCCCAGGCATGGTTGGCTTCCTTAAGAGCCGATTAAATGTGCTCAGGATGCGAGGCAAAGCACTGCACTCTGTGTCAGCTAACAGTGACCCAGAGAAGAGCATGTCTGATTGCATGCGGGTTGGTACCCAAAAAACCTCCCACTGCTGATAAAAAGGGTATCGGATGGGTCTGATGCTCATTGGGTGGATGACACCAAAATGATAAATCAGTACAATGTCCCTGTCTATGTCAGAGATCAGACCTCTACTCTTGCCTGTTGTGTTTAAAACAAAAAAAGGGCGAACTGTAGAGAAATTATCAAAGAATTAATAAAAATATTAAGTAAAGAAATTAAAAGATAGTAAGTTACAGGTATTTCAAGGAACAGAACTTTGAGAACTTTGTAATACAGTGATAAGAATGTTGTTATAACTTTATATATGTTGTTGATCATTATTAATCACTTCTAAATACATCAAAGGGGATACACCAGTCTTTGGAAGTTTTAATTGCAAATCGTAATTTGAATTGTAACTATAACAATTATTTTTAAATCAGATAATCTTTTCTACTACCATTTTCCAAATAATCAAATTGGCACTACTGTGGGGGACCAAATATAATATTTCCATATAGGCCTTAGCTCAATTCCAGGAGCTTGAATCTCCTGTTGTCTTTTAGATGTTGGCTGGTTGCCTCTGGATGGCCTGGACACAGTGGATAATGGGTTCTAGTTGGTGTATCAATAGACCTAGGTCACATGCCCATCATGAGGGCTAGTGGGACATGCTTGGGGACTAGTGGGATATGTCTGAAGACTAGTGAAACTTGCCATTGAAGAATGTCTGAGGCCTTGTGTACTTGCATTCTAGGACCATCTCTCAGGTTAAAGGACAGGTTTCCTAGTCAGCCCTATATACATGCTAATAGGTGTCTTCTACCAGTACCCCCACTTTTGGAAAGCTATTTAAGTGGATGCTTGAATAAACCATGGTCTCTAGTATTAACTGAGAGCCCTCCTGAAGAGACAAGATGTCTCTGTCTCATCCTTCACATTTCTGGGTAGCTAGGACTTCCCTGATCCACACTCTCCCTCTCAGGGTCAGACCCAGGGCTGGTTCTGAACAAAGTCCTAAAGACATAGATAGTCCAGCATAGACGGCCTGATACAAGCCAGACCTGAGCACACTACCGAAGAATAATTTAGTAACAAATCACAAAAGAAAAGTGTACGATACAATGTAAAGCTGGACTAGTGTAATGGCTCCTCTCTGATCTTATATACTATTGTAAGACATTAGGGATACACACAAGAACTGGGACTGAAGACAAAATTTTAAATTTTTGTATACTAATAAAATTCTAAAAAGAAGTAGCATGATGGCTGAAATTTAAGAAAAATGGATCATTGTATCTCCGTATTGCAGGCACATGATCCTGGGAGAGATTACATGAACAGTTTAAAATCAACAGGTGGGTAAGAGTTAGATTGAAGAGGTTGTGATAAAATGTACTGATGAAAAATTTAAGGGAAAAATGTTTATTGTATTTCTCAGTTCCTGAATACAGTCCAGTATTGAGGAGCAGTCAAGAGATCAAGAACTTCAAGCTTCCATTACATTATTCTATAGTCAGAAGAAAATAATGCATTCATGCTGCTGCTTAGTTCAATTTTTCCATTCTTGTATAACCCAGGGATCTCTGCCTAGGGAATAGCACTATCCATAGTTGGCACATCTTCTTTACAAATCAGTCTAATTAAAAATACTTAATATATACATAAATATATACTCATAACTCCAATATCCAGGTGATTCTAATTACATCATTTGGAAAACTTGCATTACATGTTACAGTAAACCCGAGCTGGGGATGGCTTCCACAGCAAAGAAAAGCCTATTCCTTGCATATATAGAGTATATAAGTGTCAAATAATATGGAAAGAGCAAAAAATTAAATGTTACGCCATTTCTTAAGATTCTTGGAAATCTTTTTTTTGGAGTGTTAGGAGAATTCATGGGAAAAGAGGAAAAATGAGCATTATGCTTGGATGACAACAAAGTTCTAAAAGATGGACAGCAGCTGCAAATGAATTTTGAAAACAGTAAATAAGAAAATATCAGTGAGACAGTTCTTAGGAAAGTGTCAAATGTGTTATTCTAGAGAAACTGAAAAACTTTAGCACATTTGAATGTGGAATAAATGTGATAGAAAAAAGGAGAAATAACAGAGCATAAAACATAAGCAGAAAACATGAGGCTAAACAGTCAGAAACTAATTTGCATGACTAAATTTAGAATTTGAGTCAGAAATTTATAAACAGACTAGCAAGAAGAGTCAGAAGATAAGGTCACCTCTGTCAAGCCAGATCACTGGGCCCCGCAACTCCCCTATGTTTCCCTTGAATCATCACATGCAAAGAAATAAATGTAAAAGGGAAAGGGGGAAGGAAGTGAATACATAGCAAGAAAGACTCATGACCTGATTTCATGCTAGAGCAGTGGTTGTCACCCTTCCTAAAGCTTTGACCGTTCAGTACAGTTCCCCATGCTGTGGTGACCACCCAATCATAAAATTGTTTTCATTGCTACTTTATAATTGTACTTTGCTGCTGTTATGAATCTTAACATACATGCCCAATATTTCCAGTTTCCTTGGGAAACCCCTGTGAAAGGGTCATTTGACCCCCAAAGTGGTGATGTCCCTTAGGTTGAGTACTGCTGCTCTAAAAGCCCACTAGAGAAAGATCAGAGGATATTCAAACAGAATTAAGGAGAACAAAAAGGTTTGCGGGTTTTGCAGGATCCTCACTTAATTTCTTTTTTATTAATAATCTAAGCAACACTAGTCAATAATAAAAGAAATAACAAGGAAAGGAATGTATGTGATGGTTAACTGTAGCATAGCAGTATATTCACACATGTTAAACTAAAGAACATTCATAGGACATGACTGGAAATTACATTTGTCCTGTGTTTTTTTAATGAGATAAACAAGAAGAAAAACAAGTTTATTTAGAATTTATTTCATATAAACTTTAGATGTTTAATAAAAAGGCATAATAATAATATAATAAAAGGGGCTACCTAGAAGGTAGTACACCATTATGACACTGATGTTTATATTTAGAAATCATGACTACATGATAATAGGAGGCACAGGTCTCTTGTTTTAGTAAGGGAGAGCATAGTTATGGAAGGAAATTTATATCATATTCAATGAGTTGATGGAAAACATGCTCATTTTATTCAAAGGCATTAATTAAGCTTTCACAAACTGCAATGTCAGTATCTGTATA